ACGTCACTATTTTACACCAATCATTTAACACGTTTGACACGTCAAAATATATAAACCATATCACGAAAATGATCTCAATATTAATAAAAATATATTATGTGTTTTACTTTTACCAAAAAAAGTTTCAAACTACAAAGCACGTTTTTATTTATACCCACGCTTCATTAGAATCTATATGCTGTGAAAAAAAAATCTAATCTGCATTTGTGTTTCATACCGTTTAGGGTACAAGGTATTTTTCATTAGAAACCACCAATTTGGTTAAAAAGCTCATTCTTGGAGCTTCACGGTAAAAGTTTATAGTGAGAGACGTAAATTATAGTAAATTTCTCGCGGTGCTTTAAAACTATACCAAAAAACAGAGTACCGAAACACGACTTAAAATGAAACACGATTGTTATATTGCGATACGGACACCCTAATACAAAAACCGGTTATGCGCTTAACTTACTAGGCAGAAGGCTTGTTCTTTCTTGGAGCATTCGACCGGCTTGGTGTTGGATTTGTTCAGAGAGGGTGTTATAAAAGCCACACAAATACGACGTATAAGCGTATGTAGAGCGTTGGTACTTTCAAAAAGGGAAAAAATCATACACATACATGTGAATTAAGCTGCTTTATTTCAGTTTCGAGAGCTTGCGGTCTTTTTTCAAGTATAAACCAGATGACAGTGTTTTAGTTTTAACACGTCCTTGAAGTTGCCTTTTTCTAAAACTAAGCAAATAATCCGTAATGTGGTGTCTCCGCATGCAGCGTTATAACTACAATTAACCAGTTCGAGAACTTACGTAATTGAAAGGATCATGTGCTGCACCATTATCGATTAGTCCAATCTAGGTACGTCACTATTTCACACCAATCATTTAACACGTTTGACACGTCAAAATATATAAACCATATCACGAAAATGATCTCAATATTAATAAAAATATATTATGTGTTTTACTTTTACCAAAAAAAGTTTCAAACTACAATGCACGTTTTTATTTATACCCACGCTTACATCAAAAAATGCTGCATAAATATTACGTTTATTTAATTAACTTCTCTTCATTAGAATCTATATGCTGTAAAAAATTCTAATCTGTATTTGTATTTCATACCGTTCAGGATACAAGGTATTTTTCATTAGAAATCCACCAATTTGGTTAAAAAGCTCATTCTTGGAGCTTCAAGGTAAAAGTTTATAAAATAGTGAGAGACGTAAATTATAGTAAATTTCTCGCGGTCCTTTAAACTATACCAAAAAACAGAGTACCGAAACACGACTTAAAATGGAACTCGACTGTTATATCGCGATACGGACACCCTAATACAAAAACCGGTTATGCGCTTATAGATAAACTTACTAGGCAGAAGGCTTGTTCTTTCTTGGAGCATTCGACCGGCTTGGTGTTGGATTTGTTCAGAGAGGGTGTTATAAAAGCCACACAAATACGACGTATAAGCGTATGTAGAGCGTTGGTACTTTCAAAAAAGGGGAAAAATCATACACATACATGTGAATTAAGCTGCTTTATTTCAGTTTCGAGAGCTTGCGGTCTTTTTTCAAGTATAAACCAGATGACAGTGTTTTAGTTTTAACACGTCCTTGAAGTTGCCTTTTTCTAAAACTAAGCAAATAATCCGTAATGTGGTGTCTCCGCATGCAGCGTTATAACTTCAATTAACCAGTTCGAGAACTTACGTAATTGAAAGGATCTATGTGCTGCACCATTATCGATTAGTCCAATCTAGGTACGTCACTATTTTACACCAATCATTTAACACGTTTGACACGTCAAAATATATAAACCATATCACGAAAATGATCTCAATATTAATAAAAATATATTAAGTGTTTTACTTTTACCAAAAAAAGTTTCAAACTACGATTCACGTTTTTATTTATACTCACGCTTACATCAAAAAATGCTGCATAAATATTACGTTTATGGAATTAACTCCTCTTCATTAGAATCTATATGCTGTGAAAAAAATTCTAATCTATATTTGTATTTCATACCGTTTAGGGTTCAAGGTATTTTTCAGTAGAAATCCACCACTTTGGTTAAAAAGCTCATTCTTGGAGCTTCAAGGTAAAAGTTTATAGTGAGAGACGTGAATTATAGTAAATTTCTCGCGGTTCTTTAAAACTATACGAAAAAAACAGAGTACCGAAGCACGACTTAAAATGGACCTCGACTGTTATATTGCGATACGGACACCCTAATTCAAAAACCGGTTATGCGTTTATAGCTAAACAAAAACTTTTGCACTTATTATGTAGAAGGCTTGTTCTTTCTTAGAGCATTCGACCGGCTTGATGTGGGACTTGTCCTGAGACGGTGTTATAAAAGCCACACAATGACACCGTATCAACGTATTTAGAGCGTTGGTACATTTAAAAAATGGGGAAAATCATACACATACATGTGAATTAAGCTGCTTTATTTCAATTTCAAGAGCTTGCGGTCTTTTTTCAAATATAAACCAGATGACAGTGTTTTAGTTTTAAGTTGCCTTTTTCTAAAACTAAGCAAAGAATCCGTAATGTGGTGTCTCCGCAAGCAGCGTTATAACAACAATTAACCAGTTTGAGAACTTACGTAATTGAAAGGATCATGTGCTGCACCATTATCGATTAGTCCTATCTAGGTACGTCATTATTTTACACCAATCATTTAGCACGTTTGACACGTCAAAATATATAAACCATATCACGAAAATGATCTCAATATTAATAAAAATATATTGTGTTTTACCAAAAAAAGTTTCAAAGTACAATACCCGTTTTATTTATACCCACGCTTACATCAAAAATTGATGCATAAATATTACGTCTATGGAATGAACTTCACTTCATTAGAATCTATATGCTGTGAAAAAAATTCTAATCTGTATTTGTATTTCATATCGTTTAGGGTTCAAGGTATTTTTCATTAGAAATCCACCACTTTGGTTAAAAAGCTCATTCTTGGAGCTTCAAGGTAAAAGTTTATAGTGAGAGACGTGAATTATAGTAAATTTCTCGCGGTTCTTTAAAACTATACCAAAAAAACAGAGTACCGAAACACGACTTAAAATGGAACTCGACTGTTATATTGCGATACGGACACCCTAATACAAAAACCGGTTATGCGCTTATAGATAAACTTACTAGGCAGAAGGCTTGTTCTTTCTTGGAGCATTCGACCGGCTTGGTGTTGGATTTGTTCAGAGAGGGTGTTATAAAAGCCACACAAATACGACGTATAAGCGTATGTAGAGCGTTGGTACTTTCAAAAAAGGGAAAAATCATACACATACATGTGACTTAAGCTGCTTTATTTCAGTTTCGAGAGCTTGCGGTCTTGTTTCAAGTATAAACCAGATGACAGTGTTTTAGTTTCAACACGTCCTTGATGTTGCCTTATTTTAAAACTAAGCAAAGAATCCGTAATGTGGTGTCTCCGCAAGCAGCGTTATAAATACAGTTAACCAGTTCAAGAACTTACGTAATTGAAAGGATCATGTGCTGCACCATTATCGATTAGTCCAATCTAGGCACGTCACTATTTTACATCAATCATTTAACACGTTTGACACGTCAAAATATATAAACCATATACGAAAATTAATAAAATGTATTATGTGTTTTACTTTTACCAAAAAAAGTTTCAAACTACAATGCACGTTTTTATTTATACCCACGCTTACATCAAAAAATGCAGCATAAATATTACGTTTATTTAATTAACTTCTCTTCATTAGAATCTATAAGCTGTGAAAAAATTTCTAATCTTTATTTGTGTTTCTTAGGGTACACGGTATCTTTCAGTATAAATACACCAATTTGGTTAAAAAGCTCATTCTTGGAGCTTCAAGGTAAACGTTTATAGTGAGAGACGTAAATTATTTATTATTTCTCGCGGTTCTTTAAAACTATACCAAAAAATAGAGTACCGAAATACGACTTAAAAAGGAACTCGACTGTTATATTGCGATACCGACACCATAATTCAAAAACCGGTTATACGTTTATGGCTAAACAAAAACTTTTAAACTTATTATGCAGAAGGCTTGTTCTTTCTTAGAGCATTCGACCGGCTTGGTGTGGGATTTGTTCTGAGAGGGTGTGTAAAAGTCACATAAAGACACCGTATCAACGTATTTAGAGCGTTGGTACTTTTAAAAAATGGGGAAAAATCATACACATACATGTGAATTAAGCTGCTTTATTTCAGTTTCAAGAGCTTGCGGTCTTTTTTCAAATATAAACCAGATGACAGTGTTTTAGTTTTAACACGTACTTGAAGTTGGCTTTTTCCAAAACTGAGCAAAGAATCCGTAATGTGGTGTCTCCGCAAGCAGCGTTATAACTACAATTAACCAGTTCAAGAACTTACGTAATTGAAAGGATCATGTGCTGCACCATTATCGATTAGTCCAATCTAGGTACGTCACTATTTTACACCAATCATTTAACACGTTTGACACGTCAAAATATATAAACCATATCACGAAAATGATCTCAATACTAATAAAAATATATTATGTGTTTTACTTTTACCAAAAAAAGTTTCAAACTACAATGCACGTTTTTATTTATACCCACGCTGGAATTAACTTCTCTTCATTAGAATCTATATGCTGTGAAAAAATTCAAATCTGTATTTGTGTTTCACAACGTTTAGGGTACAAGGTAGCTCATTCTTGGAGCTTCAAGGTAAAGGTTTATAAAATAGTGAGAGACGTAAATTATAGTAAATTTCTCGCGATTCTTTAAAACTATACCAAAAAACAAAGTACCGAAACTCGACTGTTATATTGCGATACGGACACCCTAATACAAAAAACCGTTATACGTTTATAGCCAAAATAAAACTTTCAAACTTACTATGCAGAAGGCGTGTTCCCTCTTAGGGCATTCGACCAGCTTGGTGTGGGATTCGTTCAGGCAGGGAGTTATGGATCCCACACCGTCATTGTACATCCCACACTGGTAACACTTGAGCGTTGAAACAGCAGCGAAGAAACTCACGAGGGTCACCGCAACCAGCATCGTGTTAACGCCCATTTTTCAGCTTTCGTTAAAAGTTTCTACTTCCTGTCGGGAAAACTTTCAGATGGGAGACAGACCGTGTTTCAAAGCAGTTTCAGTTCAAAAAAGGTGGGAACACGCGCGCGCAATTTTATCAACGGTTGCAGCGAGGATTCTGTGAAGGCGAAGTTGTTATCGCAACGCGGGTCAAAGTTGAACTAACGTGCGACGGTCCCTTTTTGGAGAGGAAGTTTGGGAGTTGCGTCGCGGGTGAGGCCGACCGATGAGAGTTGGATGTCTGGCAGAATGGCCCGCATATTTTTTTGGTTTCGATCACCGAGATGGTGGCCCACCTGAGATGCGGGAATACGTGGAACGCTATCTATCTCTTGATCCTTGTGCCAGTTAAAGATACCCATATTAATCTAGTTTCCAGGGGGATTTATGCAATTTGAAGAATGTACGTGGTCCGGATTTCTAGAACTCATAGATTTATAAATCGAAACTATTACTTTTGAGGTATGGTCCCTTTACACGTATTAATAATATTAACAGTTTTCCAACAATACCTCTGGGGCTGTTCAAGTATTACGTGAGCACTATGGGGGGGCGGGGGGTTCTTTGCTTTGCTTATTTTGGATGACATGGAGGGGTAGGGGAGTCTAGATGATGATTACGTCATCGGTAGTTATTTACTTTTTTACACGAATGGCAACCCTCACATTGTCTTTGCTTGAAAACGAAACGCATTTTCGGGGATTCCCGCAAATAATGCTTACGTTTAGTGAACAGCGCGCGGTGACTCCCCTACTCGCTTTAGAACCGAGTAGGGGAATTACCGCGCGGTGTTCACTTGTCTAAATTTCCTCTATCAGTATATTGTTTCATTTGGATACTATAGCGAGTAGACACATTGTAAGCTTAGTAAAGCAAGTTAACATTTGTGTTACCATTGGTTCCATTAGCCAAAGTATAATGCTTAAATAAGATGTCGTTTCACATAGACAAATCGAAGTTATACCAAAAATTGTTTGAAAGTTTTAAAAAATCTCATACAAGTACGAAAGTACAAAATGTACAAAAGTTAGTTAACGAAATGTGGCGAAATTACAATTTACAAGCAAAATCCGACAGGGAACTAAATATTATTGTATCTAAGAGAATCGAAGAAGAATTGCAAGCGGCGACTAAGAATAAATCCAATCTACTAAATTTTTTTTCTAAGGTGAGTGAGGAAATCATTTTCGGTCCCTATGAGTACTAGAAATATTAGAAATCGCCAAAAAGTTTCTCCTTACTGATTAGAAAATATTATAGCCTATCTCAAAGCATAGAGGTAATATTCATTATATTATAGATTTATTTCTTATGATTGATTCCGTCAATTAGTCACAAAGTACAGGATGTGAGTTTTATACATATACAGGGTGACTTCGAAGTTGAGTCATTTATTTTAACAGTGAGTAGATCTGATCAAAAGAAATGTTTTTTTCCTTTACCATTTTTCTGGTAAAATTAAAGTAACAAAGTTATAGCCCTATTATTCGCTTCGGTTACCACCGGGTCACAATAATTTATTGTACAGAGGCTTCACTGTATACGCTTCATACATAATTTAATCCTCCCATAGATATAATAATAATGATTACAATAATAAGAACATATTTATTTTAACAGTGAGTAGATCTGATCAAAAGAAATGTTTTTTCCTTTAACATTTTTCTGGTAAAATTAAAATAACAAAATTATAGCCCTTTAGAAGTTTGAGTAGCGCCCTGTCTCAATAATATCATGTGCTCGTGTTTGGCAACAACGGATATAATCCGCCTTATCGGTTCATCGCATCGGAAACAAAAAAGCGAAGGAATTTGGAACGATGTTTTTACAATTATGTTATTCAGTTCAGTTATACATGCAGTCAGTGTCAGTCGCGTGTGAATAGTGTCTGTTGCGTGGCTCAAACGAAATAAAAAATGGCACATGTTTATGCGGATCGGTTTCCCAATCGAGTGCAACCACACCCTCGTGCCTTTGTTAATGTAGTACAACGGGCTCGTGAATCAGGTGACTTAAGACCTCACAGGGGACCTCACGATCAAATACAGGTCCGCACTGAAATACTTGTCGGGAGGATACTTTATAAAACAAGGTAAACATTTTTTTTTAATTTTTTTTATTTTTACACACATATTTTGGTTTATCTTCCTTCTACAATCATTATCTGAAAATTAATGACTCAACTTCAAAGTCCCTGTATACAGAAAACTAACACCCTGTATTTTGTGACCGCAACGAATTGCTCGTTTAAACATATTAGATTTAAAGCCATAGAGTTTTGTATTTACCATATATATTGCCATACTTTGTATTTATGTAACTTAATAAGAGAATCTTTAGCAGAAGCCGTAGAAAGTTTTTATTTTTAGTCAACCTGTAAACCTGCAGAAATAACACAAATTATACATATACAGTCAGCTTCAAATACTAAAACAGCAGACTTTTGCGCGCTTCGAAATTGACGCTATATTTTTTGATATTTTTGAATGAAATTTTTACAGAGTGCTGAAAACAAAACCCCACAGAGTGCTATAGAGCCAATTTTTCATTTTTTTCACTAGGTTCTTTTTAAAAAAATCGCGAAGTTGAACAGAAGAAGTGCGCACTTCAACCCATCTTAAAACTCGTGCAAAAAAAATTTCAAAAAGTGCTCCTGAGCAATTATCTTCGCAACATACTGTATAAATTTCATTCAAAAATATTGAAAAATGGAGTGTCACTTTTGAAGGAGCTGAACCCTTGTAAATGGCTTGAAACTCACTGCGTCGGAGCCGCCTTAAGTCGATTTTATCCCTTAAAAAGGTTGCTCTTCAATATCACGAAGTGGCATAAGTTAGTTTCTAATACCTTCTGAGTTATTGAAAAATAATATTATACCTATATCACTTTAATAGGAAATCAAATTTCACGAGAAAGCTTAACTCAAGTTATAATAAAATATTTTTTTCTTCAAATTTCATGATTTTTAATTTTGCATCACTTAATGTAACACGGACGTAACCAAGTCATTATTCTATGAATTACGACCCTTCATTTTCACAAAATGACGTATCTACTTTTTTTGGAAATTTTGAACACAAAATGAAGAATGGGTTAATCGTTAGTCATTTTTTAATTCAATTATGTAGCAATAATACCTTTTTGTCAGCAACAACTCAAATCTCGTGAAAATATTTAAAACGCTCTAATGTAAAATTGGAAAAAAATGAGATAGGTACGCCACTTTGTGTCATGGACGGCATCTGTTAATGGCGCATCAGATCTAAAGATTGGTATCAATTTAGCAATGAAGAAATTTTTGAATTATATTTATAAGAAAGTTCAATTTACAGGCAATGGATGACGCCTGCATACAATATTTGCGCGCCATCTATCGGCTACTTTGCAAAATAAAAAAGTCATGCTCAAAATCTGCGAAGGAAGCTGCAGGTTAATAATAAATATTCTCGTGGTTGATACTGCGTTCCACAGAGGACGCGCATAAACTATATAATGCTGTAATTTTATGCAAAGTAATACGAAGGTTCTAGAACCAAACACAAGGCCCAGATAAGACCAAGACTCGAATACATGATTTTTTTTCTCACTGACAGTCTCGAGCCGTCGACGATCTAATTTTCTTCTACCACAACGTCAATGCCAATGGGCTTTGCGACTCAGAACTGTCCTTCATGATGCCGCCGCGCGATTTTTATATTAGTTAAAATACAATTATCAAAAAGGTATATTTTGTGACATCAGCTTCACTTTAAATAATTCTTCATGTACAGACACATAAATTTAAATGGATTACACTGTAATATAGAAAGAAAACTTACCGAAGTACTTTTGAGAAGGGCATACGACATTTTTCAAAAAAGTGCCTTTGGCTAAAGACATCGTAGGGCAGGAAGTCGATTTGGGTCGATTATACTTCCAAATCGGATATTCATGGCAATGTCCTGAGCCTATTGCACATTTTTTGCCCTCGGAAATAACTTCTTTGGCCCACTCGACAGCTTATTCAGTCTCTCTGGGCAAGGAACATATAGGCAGCGATATCTACAATGAAAAACGAAAAAAAAATATAATATACATAGATACAATTAATATATGAACACGTACTTATCAAAAAACGTTCACAGATATTACGAAAATTAAGTCACAATGGTAAAAATCTCCGAAAATCGTATAAAAAAACTCCCGACAGTTGAATAATTTGACAGACCAAATCAAATTCTGATTCGCGCGCGGCATTTGATTTACTAGTAGCCAACAACAACTATTCATGATTTGGTAGCATTGCGACTAGATGAAGAAACTATTATAGTGATGGGGGTGCGGTGATGGGAATGTTTATCTTGAATAAATGAAATGATTACTTAATAATCTATTTTGATCATAAAAATAAAACAAAATTGCTCTATTGCGATTAATATTGATGCAGTAATATACGTGTATGTTATATTCTTATAATTTAGAGCATGATTTTGTGGAAAAAACAAACAAAAATGCAACTTTAAAGTTTGATGAAACAAGTAGAGGCCTCCTTACAGAAAATAATATTTTGGCCATCCAAATGTTTCATTTTATAATAAGAAATGAAATATTTGTAATATGCGCTAAAGAAACATAATATTAAATCCAACGACTGTATCTAGTACTTGGGGGAAAAATATAGCCAAATATCCCTGTCCTCACGTGTAGAATCATCTAAGGAAACTGCAAGTTAGTAATAAATATACATAATTTCTTCAACAGAGGGCGCGCATTAATTTTACAGTACAGTGATTATAAAGAAATATGAAAAACTAAAATTGTTTTTTAGAAACACATACTTGAATAAGGAGAATTTTACAAAACAAATTCGTAATAACCAAATCATGGTAGTCAAATCTCTGTACTTGAGGAAAAATAGAGTTAAGTATCGATGATTCATCTAATATAGTCTGGTGAAATTAAACTTTGTATTGAAAATAGGCAGACTTATTAATTTTGGTTTGTTTTAATTTTTGACAGGTGGCGATCAGGAACAATTTGAAATATCTATAAGTTGTCCCAAGACTATCATTGCCAGAGCTTTCGGTCCGAGTACAGATAACATGGCCACGAAAGACAACTGTTGAAATGTATTCTACTAGACTCTAGAAGACTATCCGTAGCGAAATTTTTGCCGAAATCATTGCACAACACTTAAAAATGCAAATGAAAATTGGAAAATTGACGTATTGACGTACAAAGTGAGAGCTCTCGGTACCTCGGGATAGACGTCCGTCTTGACAGATAACCTTGTCATTCTTGCCATTTGGATTACGACGTTGCCAGCTCATCGGACGAGTTTGCTACCTCTGCTATTTTGACGGAATGTTATAAAAAAAGAAGTTTTGAGTAAAATATTGAGGGATAGCAATGGAGATATATAAAATTTGAGGCGTAGCAATCTTTGCCAAAAAACTAAACAAAAGCTGTTACATTTTGAGTCGCTGCGTTTTCTTATCTGACAGTATTACGAAGCGACTCCATGTTTAAGTTGACCGGCATGGGTATCATGTAAAAAACCTATAAAACGTCAAAAAAAAACCTATAAGATGTCATCTTGCAAAGTCGGTAGTTTTTAGGGCGCAAACAGTCATTTCACGTTGCTCACTAGGTTCGTTGTGAACGTCCATCTAAGGAGGAATCACTCAACTAAACTACACGCATTATTGGTTGCATATGTTTTGTGAGGCCAAATGGTCCTTGTCTGTAGTTTTTATTTCTAAGAAGAGATGTGTATTGGTCTGCATGAGTATAAAATCAGTGATATTTGCTGTGTGAGAAAATCGTTACTGAGTATGCTGCCAATGAAGTTTATCTATTGGCTGTGCCCGATGGGTTATCTTTATGTTGTGCTTTCTGAAGAGAGGTAATGCTCAAAGTTATAAATCACGAAAAACTGAGGAGAATTACGGGAAATCATCACCGCGCCCGCGTTGTGTCTAATTACTGTTAGCGTGTATATGACTTGTAATTCGACAGTGTACAGTGAATATAAATATTTCTTATCTATCTCATTTTTAAAACTCGGCAAATTTGCATATTTTATTTCTAGAATGAATAAGAAATAGTGGATGCGCAACTAATCTCTAGCTTTGAATCTCAATTAAGTGTATTTGAGACAAGAACCCAATGTAATTATCATCAACACATACAACTTACAGCTTAGACCTCCAGTAATTCCATCTCAGAAGCAGATTTTTCATCACATCAAAGCCAATGATTGATAACAACCGTCATGACGTTTAGGCAACATGTACAACTAAGTGCTAAGTTAACATCTTGTAGAAAAACCTACATAATGCAAAAAACCCAGCATAATGTCAAAAAAATCGGCATCATTTCAATTTTCAAGATACGTAATATCCGTGCGCGAGCTGGAAAGGGGCGTGGCTGTACTAACTGGCCGAACCGTATCGCCGCAGCGAGGTACAGCACTCACACACATCAGTCTCTTGGCAACCGTCGGCGCAGCGGAATGACTACGCGTTAACAGCTCCGGGCCGAGCTCTATTCGGTTTAACTAATTTTTTCTAGAAGTGGTGTTAACTATGGGGTTCTCGATTGTGTCTAAGTGGTGCTTTAGTGCTGTGACGTGGGTGTCAAGTGTATCCAAAGTGGAAATTAGGTCTACTTCCAACTCTTCTGAGGGAAACAGGAAACCTGTGCAGCAAACTATGTGAGTCTTGCATACTCATCACTTGTGTGTTAGGATTGACATCCTATGTTTTTTTAAATAAATGAAATTTCAACAACGGGCATTTATAAAAGAGTTCAGAGACATTAACGTTCCGCCGCATAGACGCCAGGCGACGCAAAATGTAAAATAACAGCTTTTTTCAGTTTGTCGGCAAACATTGCCACGCCTCAAATTTTATATATCTCCATTGATATCCCTCAATATTTTATCCAAAGCTTATTTTTTTTTATAACATTCTAGCATAATGGCAGAGGTAACAAAATTGTCCGATGAGCTGGCAACACCGCAATTTAGACGACAAGATAGTATGTCTATCCCGGGGTAGCGACGGAGTCCTTTAGTACGTCAAAGCGGCAGTTTTCCAATCTTCATTTTTCAAGCGGTGTGCAATGACTTTTAGATGCGGATAGTCCTCTGAGTCCAATTCAATAGTTGTCTTGCTTGTCTATGTTGTCTTTCAGGTTCATTTGTAATCTCTCATCTCATTTAATAATCTTGAATATTTGAATAAACCTTTTGTCTATTTTGTGATGTCAGCAAGAAATAAAACAAGTGATTCTTTCATACATAGCATTTTTATTTGAAATTTATAAATATCTATAAATAATTCATTAAAAAGGCCATGATACTAAAACTCCATCAGTCTATCAGATTCGGTTAGCACTTCACTAGCATGTTCGGAGTCTTCTTCTACTGTATGGTAGCTTCCAACTATACAACCTTTTAGCTTGCATCCATTTTCTATAATGGCACCATCACATACTATGCAGTTCTCTATGGCAACTCTGTGAAAGAAAAGTATAGTTAGAGCACAAAAAATAATTTTTTCCCTTCTTTTTCATATTGGCACACTGTATGCGCTATTCCCATTCTTACATTGAGAGCTAAAATATATTCAAACATAATTTACTCTGCTTTAAAACAAATAGTACCTGATCACCACTATCATTTGCTCGTTGCTACCACATCCAGGCATTTATGACCTGCTGGTTAGGAGGACAGCCCTCCATTTTCAACTGTGTTTCTTTTCATAGGACATGAATGAGATTTAAATACACTTTAGAAAGTTTTCATTGCTTCTTTATCATAAAAATACTCACTTTTCCTTAATAGTAACATTGTTCATAATGATGCTGTTGAAAACTCTGCTAAAGCTGTTTACTTCTGCATTGGCTCCTATCACACAGTTTTTGAATGAAGTCTTTTCTTTGAGATTAACACCTTCCATATGATGCATTTGTCATCTACTTGGTTAGAACTAATTGTGGCCTCGGGGTGTTTCAAAATTAGTTCCTTGCCATTGGTTATTTTCTGCCAATAATCAATAATCTGCAGTGTTTCAAAATATTTTTTTGTAGTAAGATAATTTTCACAACTACTTAATTGACATAATTTAAAAAACAAAAATTGTATCTTTATTATCAAGCTAAAAAAATATTTTGGTTGGTGTACCACAAGGTAGTAAACTAGGTCCACTACTATTTATTTTATACCTTAATGACATTTGTGATATTTTAGTCAGACACCTCTTTGAAAATGTTAAATTTTGACTTGGCAAAAATCATAAATTGGTTAAACGTCAACAAACTAAAAATGAATGCTTCTAAAACAAAATAGTTTATAATACAATTATTCTACTGCATTTACTATATTGTTCAATATTAAATAAAAATAAGTACACCAAAATAAAATCTATGTTACAAGAATTGCAGTGGTTGAATATAAAAAATTTCATATCATATTTTGTCCTTATCTTTATATTTAAATGGAAAATCATCTTTTGAAACAACATAGAATTGAATAATCATTACCACAATTATTATACATGAGAAAATATAGATTTTCATTTACAAAACTGCAATAGTGATATAGCTATCAAATCAATATTTCAGAGAGGGTTAATTGAATTTAATAAACTAAATAATCATATAACGTTTACTTCAGATTTAAAGACGTTTAGAAGAAAATTCATGGAGATTGAAAATTCTTAAGAAGTACTTTTGTTTTTCTAAATATCTGTATATTAAGTAATTGTTGTAGTTTTTCAAATCATGCTAAATAAATCTTAAACAATAACAACAAACAAACATTGCAACATGAGTTTTTATCAACTTATTATGTTAGATACCCAACTAAAATACAAACCTTTCCACTAACTGTCCAATAGTTCATCATAGTATTGACTCTAACTCCAAACGCATCCTTTGGTGCTATGTAAGCATAGCATCTTATACTATCATCATGATATGCAGGTTTTAAATCTCCAATATGGTCATTATATGCAGAAGCCTCTCTTATTGCCAAGTCCAAGTCATCCTCTTTAGCATAAGCAAAAATGTCACCAGCATCTCTCAATGTGACAATGGATTCTCTTGGTTCACTTGTTTTTGGTGGTTTTGACAGTTGTTTTTTGACTATGTGTGGTAAAAGTTCACCTTTTAGTGATGAAAAACTATCTTCACTTTTCAGATACTTGATCACCCATTTTTTTAACACATATATGTGAGAATCGATAAGATTGCTGTAAAGTTTTAAGCTGGTGTGTTTTTTTAAAAGGCTTTTAGGTAAGGTTAGCTCACTTTCGAAATCACTGGCTGATGCTAGGAAAACCAGTCTGTTGGTTTGTTGATCTATGCCAATGAGGTCACGTTCTACAACAAAATAGATTCTCTGACTTAAAGAGGATTTCTTAAAAAAATGGATG